TATATATATAAATCACATAAATGACAAAAACACAAAACTATATATATATAAAATATTAATAAATTAAAAAAATTAATAAAAACTATAATAGTATCTCTTCAGCAACACAATTCTTGAACATTTTGTCAACTTAATTTCAATCCACTTTTTTGTTTCTGGAGAGTAAATGTTGAAATGAAGTGTAGTTTTCTGTGTTTTTGAATAAAAGGAAAGAGCTGTTAGAGTTTAATGTTCAGTTCTGCTGGGTTTTCAGAAGAGTTTCTGTTCTTTTGTGGGTCATATTGTGCTGAAGAGTGGAGATGAGTCCATGTTGAGAACGGATGCATGTGGAGCTTTATTCGATAAAAAAGTTTGATCGTTTTTTTTTCATTAAACTTTCATTGCATCAACTTTATTGTGTCAAAAAGAGCAGCATGAACATTCTGAAATCGTTTATGTTCCACGGAAGAAAGAAAGTCAAACAGGTTTGGAAATCCAGTCTGTTTCAGTCTCATACTTTAACCAGATTCATACGTTTTAACTAAATAAATGTAATTTTTACAATGACCAGATTTCTAAGCAATCTGAATAAATGCATTTTGAAAATTTGATTACATAAACAAAATCAAATAAATGATAAACCATGCCATGATTTTTTTTTTCATTTATGTATGATTGATAAATATGCATCACATTAAGTTTATTAGTTTGTTTAAAACTGTGTAAACCAAATGGATGGACATTTTATACGCAATTCAAATATATAAATCTTAAATTTAGGCCTAAATACCTTTTTGAAGGTAGTGACTTAAACTTAAAACAAACTTTAACTAGAATAAAATTAAATATAAAAAAAGATTAAACTTATTTTATTTCAGCCAGTTGCCACGACAACATCTCTTATTTTTATTTAGTTTAACTTGATGTACTAAAATAACTAAAACTACATAAATCTAAAATAAAAATGCATAAAAACTACTACGTAAAAAAATGACAAAAAACATGCAATAAAATTAAAATAATATTAAATATTAAATACTTTAAAATTAAAGTAAAACAGAAAATATACAAATAAAAACTACTTCAAAATATGAACAAAAACCATTTCATATGAAATGTATTTATATTAAATTTTATGAATTAAATCTTGATATTTTAACTTCCACTGTCACAGTCCAAATCAATTTACATCAATACATATTTCGAATAAATGTAGTTTCACACCAAATATTTACATATTTTACACATTTGCACATATGTTATGATGTTTAATCGTCTCTTCACATTGAAATCATGTGATGTCTGCTGTTCAAATCCAAAAATCAAATCAGATTTGTGAACACAGCTGAAGAAAATGAGACGAGCTCCTTTACATTTAAAAAAAAATGAGTCTGATATTATTTGCCTCATCTTGTTCAAATGTCAGACGCTGCCCTCAAAAACCTCATTAATGAACATGAAGGAATCAGACAGAACCGACAGCCAATCAGCTGCCAGCAGCACCAGAGCTGTGCTGATTATGAGTTCAGGAGAAAGAGCGAGAGAGAAATAAAAGAATAACGTGTCTCTCACCCCGGGTAGAGTCTTTTGTTCGTGGAGAGCGCTCTGGGCCTTCAGCGCTGACTCTCTGGCACAGTACGTTAGAAAGGCACATCCTGAAACACACGAACACACAGACGCACAGGTCAGCCCATTCAACACTGTAGGAACTACTAAAAACGTCCAGATGAGATTCATGCATGCAAAAAAATCTAAAAGTCTAGTTTCTTTTAAAGCATGTTTAGATTTTTATTAGTTTTACCTTACCAGGCTACAGATGTCTCATCACAAAAAGATATAAAGAATAAAAAAATCATGCAGAGAGACACATCTGACCATTATGCAAATGATAGCAATATTCAAAATCACATTCATTGTCAATTTGTCAATTTCAATGCCAATTTACTTACAAAGCACAATTTAAAACAACAAAAGTTGACCAAAGTGAGGTACAAGAATAAAAATAAAATAAAATTAAATTAAATAAAATTAAATTAAATTAAATTTCTAATTTGAATGGGTAGACTTGTTTCAGGGCTGTAAAGAGACTTTAGAACTAAATAATTAAAAATCTTACAGTGGTTTTTAATGTCAATTTACTTATAAAGCACAGTTTAAAACAGCAAAAGTTGATCAAAGTGTGGTATAAGAATAATGTATAAATCATAATAAATAAAATAAAATAAAATAAAATAAAATAAAATAAAATAAAATATAGTGTGAATGGGTGGACAGGTTTCAGGGAAGCAAAGAGACATAAAGAATTAAAAATCATGTTATGCAAACAACAACAATATAATAAAAATCACATTAATTGCCAATTTGTCCATTTTCAATGTCAATTTACTTATGAAACATTATTTAAATTTACCAAAGTGCAGTATAATAAAATATAAACGTATAAAATAAAATAAAATAAATAAAATAAAATGTTTAAAAATAATAAATATTTACGTTAAAAAAAAAATTGTAGGAAAATTAATGAAATAAAATAAAATTATAAAATAAAATAAAAAATGACACATGAAATAAACAGAGATCAAAATAATCTGTATTTTTAAATTAAAAGCCAGAAAGAACAAAAGAGTTGTTAACTTTTAAGATTTAAAATCATACAGTATAAAGTTGAAGCATGTCTAATGTGAATGGTTAGACTGGTTCACAGTTACAGAGCAGCAGAGAGATTTAAAAAAAATTAAAAATCAGAGACACGTCTGACGGTTATGCAAACAACAGCACTATTCAGAATCATATTAATTGGACAAATAGCAGAAAAATCTCCACATTTGCATTTTCAGACACCTCCACCACTAAAGTAGCACTGCAAATGAATGTGAACATGCTTAAACATCAAAAGTGTGTTTTTTGCCCCGTGTGCGGCGGCGGTGACCCTCTGAGAGGCATTTCTGCAGCGGCGGCACAATTTCTCATCACCTTACAGCAGACGCGCTGAAGTGCCCTCCTTAGGGACCACGAACACACACGCGGCACCCATCGGCCAAACCTGCAGCCGGATACACACTGCAGCGCTCCGGGACTTTCACACGGATGCCAAGTGCAGATACTTTACAAAACTTAACAGGCTTTCCTTTACAGCTCAAGTATATTGGTCTCATAAACACATTGAACTACAATTTTCATTTATTTTGCTATCATAACACATGCATTCACACTTTTAACACTTTTATGACATCTGACAGTCATTTCTAACCAAAGTAACTTATATCCCTTACGCAAATAATTTTTTTTTTACATCTCGTCATTTACATGTGTTTTTTTTTACCATAAAATGGTAAATATATATTGACTTTATATATTGCAATTCTGATAAATAAATAAAAAAGTCAGATTTGTTAGATATAAACACATTATTGCAAGGATTTTTTTTTTATCTTGTGGAAGAAACAAGCTACCATAGTATTGCTTTGGGGGAGTTACATCAAAAAACATCTATGTTACTTAAAAAAATTTGGTGATTTATGTCTCATTATAAATATCACAAAAGAAGTAAACTAGAAGTCTTGATTATGCACATTAAACTAGGGCTGGGTTATATTTTTTCCATCAATATTTATCATGATATTCATTTAGCATTAATGGGGAAGGAACGTTTGTTAGACCTTGAGAATGAATGCAAACATAACTTGTTTGTTCACAATTATATAACTTTTTATTTAAGGTCCCGTGAAATACATTTTATTTTCCCCTAAATTCTGTGTTTTCCTTTTCATTTTTTCTGGATTCTGTGTTTTATGATTAAATACAAATGTATCAACAAAAATGGTGGTTAATGAAATTACTTTTTTTTTTTTTTTTTACCTATTTTAGCGATCTTTTAAAAATGTAATCAAATGAAAATATAACAATTAATCTACAACAAAGCATTGCATTTTTATTTTTGTCAAATTAGACGCTGCACAACAGAACTGTATAAATTAAAACATATATTGATATATTTCTGTCATAATTTCTTCAAGTTAAACTGAACTTTTATTTTGGCGGTTTGTGGTGAAGATCTATGAGTTTCAGTGTGTGTTTGACAGTAGTTTTTCTAAAACTTGAATTAACTGAAATAATATCTCAAGAAAACTCATTAAAACATGCATATTTAGATAAGTTTATGTGTATGTAATGTCTTGTTGAGATCTAACAGCACTTTCTCCTTCATGACCTGAGCATCACACACACACACACAGAGACAGACAGTAAAACTCCTACACAAACTAAACTAAATGCAAACAGACTGACAATGAGAAAGTGCTGATCCAGGAGTCCAGCGGCGGCAGGACAAGTTAAATAACATTATGTAAGCGCAGCAGGACCTGACTCTGCCAAAGCCATCAAACACAACTCACCACAAACCAAGCTTAACAACATTCAAATCACACACAGACACACACAGACACACACACACACACACACACACACACACACACACACACTCTCTCTCACACACA